AAACAACACAATGTAACTCCAAGTCAATCACACTTTTGTGAAATCAAACTGTCCACTTAGGTAGCAACACTGATTGACAATCAATTTCACATGCTGTTGTGCAAATGGAATAGACAACAGGTGGAAAGCATAGGCAGTTAGCAAGACATCCCCAATAAAGGAGTGGTTCTGCAGATGGTGACCACAGACCACTTCTCAGTTCCTATGCTTTCTGGCTGATAGTTTGGTCACTTTTGAATGCTGGCGGTGCTGTCACTCTAGTGGTAGCATGAGACGGAGTCTACAATCCACACAAGTGGCTCAGGTAGTGCAGCTCATCCAGGATGGCACATCAATGCGAGCTGTGGCAAGAAGGTTTGCTGTGTCTGTCAGCGTAGTGTCCAGAGCATGGAGGTGCTACCAGGAGACAGGCCAGTACATCAGGAGACGTGGAGGAGGTCGTAGGAGGGCAACAACCCAGCATCAGGACTGCTACCTCCGCTTTTGTGCAAGGAGGGACAGGAGGAGCACTGCCAGAGCCCTGCAAAATAACCTCCAGCGGGCCACAAATGTGCATGTGGCTGCTCAAACGGTCAGAAACAGACCCTTTGAGGGTGGTATGAGGGCCCGACATCCACAGGTGGGGGTTGTGCTTACAGCCCAACACTGTGCAGGACGTTTGCCATTTGCCAGAGAACACCAAGATTGGCAAATTTGCCACTGGTGCCCTGTGCTCTTCACAGATGAAAGCAGGTTCACACTGAGCACATGTGACAGACATGACAAGGTCTGGAGATGCCATGGAGAATGTTCTGCTGCCTGCAACATCCTCCAGCATGACCGGTTTGGCAGTGGGTCAGTAATGGTGTGGGGTAGCATTTCTTTAGGGGGACGCACAGCCCTCCATGTGCTCACCAGAGGTAGCCTGACTGCCATTAGGTACCGAGATGAGATCCTCAGACCCCTTGTGAGACCATATGCTGGTGCGGTTGGCCCTGGATTCCTCCTAATGCAAGACAATGCTAGACTTCATGTGGCTGGAGTATGTCAGCAGTTCCTGCAAGACAAAGGCATTGATGCTATGGACTGGCCCGCCCGTTCCCTAGACCTGAATCCAATTGAGCACATCTGGGACATCATGTCTTGCTCCATCCACCAACACCACGTTGCACCTCAGACTGTCCAGGAGTTGGGGGATGCTTTAGTCCAGTTGTGGGAGGAGATCCCTCAGGAGACCATCCACCACCTCATCAGGAGCATGCCCAGGCGTTGTAGGGAGGTCATACAGGCACGTGGAGGCCACACACACTACTGAGCCTCATTTTGACTTGTTTTAAGGACATTACATCAAAGTTGGGTCAGCCTGTAGTGTTTTTTTCCACTTTAATTTTGAGTGTAACTCCAAATCCAGACCTCCATGGGCTGCTAAATTTGATTTCCATTGATAATTTTTGTGTGATTTTGTTGTCAGCACATTCAACTATACAATGAACAATGTATTTAATAAGAATATTTCATTCATTCAGATCTAGGATGTCTTATTTTTGTGTTCCCTTTATTTTTTTGAGCAGTGTATTTCAAAACAATACTGGGAAAAACAATACTTTTGCAGCTTGTCTTGATTATGGATTTTGAGATCCAAAGGTTCTGATCCTCTTAGTTTTTTGAAAGTTAATTAAAATCTGTTTTTTTCTCCAGATATTAGTGCTAGGATGTTAAGAGTGTCAAATATAACTGTTTCAGTTTTGTGAAATCGATATAGTGTCTTGCTTTTTCTTTTTTGTACTGAATCATTTTTAATGTTAGTCAGGATTGTGAGATACACATTATCAGCATTAAAAATTATATGTGTGTGTATAAGCAAATAAATTGCTTATCACTCAGAGTAGATTGGTAGTGATATATATTTTCAATATATAAATGTTTTCATTTATTACTCCCTTCATTCTTGTTTTCTTCCAAATATATTTAAGGGGCAGCTTTAATGGTGCTAATAATTTTAGATTTTGGAGCCCTATTTATACAATACTTAAGAAGGATTCCAGAATGTAGTAGGAATCATTGCCCCAATCTAACAATTTCCAATTAGTCTTAAATTATAACTCTCAGAATATCCAATCAGCACAACCAGGCCTCAGAAGTTTGTAACTGCAACATTTTTGGAAAAATTGGGTTGGACACATCCAATCTAAAAAGTAGATTTCCCTTCCCCATTATATAATTAAAACTGAAATCTAATATTACCATATATAAATATATCACTCGTTCTCTTGGACTACATAATTTTATTTTCATTCTACATAAAGCAGCATTTACATACAGTACTATATATAGTCCTCACTAGATAAATACCCATCAGTTTTAACTCTTAAGGAGTTCATAAAATGCATGGAATTTAAAAAGCATGGAATCCTTTTCTGGAAAATTAACAAGGAAGTTCATGTTCATATGACTTAATGACATAATACCGAAAAATAAATGTAAAACAGTACAATTTGGGAAGTGGTCTATGTAGCATGAGATATTTGTGATGTAAAAGTACAACAAGGCTACAAATACGTCAAGCCTACATTTACTAATTGATATTTATAACTCAAAGCACTTCCTTAAGGATCATACTGCTGATTAGTACAGTTGCTAGATTTATCAGCCTGTCGTTCATGAAATGGAAAGTGTTGATGAAAGCTGTAATATTTCAGACATCGAAAAAGAGAAGTTGTGTGGGCGGTACATTTAGCTTTTTTTAACCTTTTGCTATGATCATTGTTTAAAGAATTGGTGACTTGGGACTTTGTAAATCAGACAGCTGAAAGGAGAGTGTTGATTTGTAGTGCAAGCGACTAATCACAGATTCTGCTTATTGTAAGTTGACTATAAAGGATTTTCTTGCTTCCTTATTCTTGCTATCTTTTGCTGTACTCCAAATAAATAATTCAAAACTATTTATTTAAGGTCTATTTAATCTATTATTTCATCAAAATTTACAATGTTCCTTACCCTTTTCAATTCCTAGCATTATTAGGAACATTTTAAATTATGAAAAGAAATGTATCAAGCAATTTTTTCCTCCAACTGCTATTAGCCCTCGATTTAATGGTCTTCCAAGGGTCCCTTCTAAATACATAGTTACTTTAGTTGCATAGCATTCAAATAACTTGAGAATAATGATTTTTTTGCTTGGGAATAAGAACCATTTGTTATAGTTTATATAGTTGGAAGAAGAAAAACAACCAATTTAATGAACAGCCATAAGTATGTGTAGATTCATGCAAACAACCTAATTATGAACCACTTGAAGCCTTCCAGAATCAGCTGGGAGTCAAGTGACCCTGCAATACATTTAATTAATTAGCACAAACATGCACTGGCAAAATACTCTGCACTGTCACTATGATGTTGACTTTTGCATGTCTAGCACCTATGAGTAAAACAGGCTTAAATTGTTTATTGTGCTGATTCCATCTAAGGACAGCCACACGCTGGGTCAAATCTTTTTACATTTTGTAATGGATTATCCTGAAAGAACATTAATTCAACGGCACTGAAAATAGAGGTGTTTCAGAATGAGAAATGAGCAAATTCTGAGTCAAGTAGATTTCTGCTAATTCAAGGATGGGTGGGTTAGCACTCACTTTCAGCAATGTGGAAAAACCTTCTTTGTTTAAAAATAAGAAAGATAGGATGCTGCAGTGACCATTAGCAGTTTACTCATATTCCTATGCTAACAAAGGTTCTAATTGCTGAAATGACTGCTGTTATCTAGGCCACCAGTTACCCTCTACTTACCTGGTGACTGCCTGATCTGCAGGGTGGGGCTTGGAACTCATTTTTGAGATCCAGCCATAACTGCTTGTTTGTTCCTAAATATTTTAATCAATCCACTCTAATAATTAATTTCCACTGGAAACAACAAATGTTTTTTTTTACTTCCTGATACATCCTTTTATTATACATTTGGTAACACCTGATATGCCACTTCAATCTTAATCTTATTTCTTTCATGTTTTCCACATAAGATTTTCATTTTAGAACCTTTACCATGCCAATATTACTGATGTCTTCTTTCTTACCTCTTAATAACTTTTCCTACCAGATATGGAAATTAAAATGGTTCCTATCTGTTTCTTTATGGGTATTTATAGAATGTTGAATTCAAAGTATATACACTCCATTAACACAATTTCATTTTACCTCAGTTCCTATTTAAATCTGAATTTCTATATTCTATCCTAATTTTTCCATTGCTTCTAAATTCATCGTTATATGGTTTTCTCCTCAATACTGTATATTTGTTCAAGTTCTTCATATTATAAGGTATCATTCTATTAATTTTCAATCTGTTTTCAGACCAAGCTTCAAAGTATTTGTTTTAGGACAGATTCTGATAGTGTATTTTTGTGTGTGTGAGAGAGAGAGAAACACACACAGACACACACAGAGAGAGATGACTACATTTTTCTGAGCATACAAACACATACCCCAAAACTTCTGTATATTTTTACATATCTTTTTCATTTTTTAATCTGCAATGTAGTGATGAATTTGTGGAATACTGTAGACAAATCTAGATCTGATTCTTTAAATTTGACTTAACACTTGTTTGTTATTTCTGTCAATTATATATCTTTCAAACAATGATTGTATATCTTTGAAGTCCAAGTTTCACCAAAGTTGTTTAATTAACTACCATTAACTAAATACATATAGTGTAGTGCATTCCTACAGAGGTGAAAAAATAATAATTATGGGAGGGGTGCTAGATTATTAGGCTGCAACAATCAGTATATTTGTCTATAATTTTACCCAGATTAGCCTTGTGCATTCTGGTACCCTCTGCATGTATTAAATCTTCTAAAATTCCCAACCACCTTGACCAAATTTGAGATTTGTAGGAAATGCAAGCTACAAATCCAGGTATCCCAAAAAATCAGATTAGGAAAGGGTGAATTAAACCATTTTCACTTTGTGGGACTTCTATTTTGATTTTTGTAACTTCTTGCTCTTTTGTTGTTTCTGTTCAGGTAAACTGAAGAAATGATGCATACGCTGAAAATTGAGCCAAGATTGTTCAGCTTAAAGGGATTTTTCTGGCTTTGTCTCTTTGAGCTTTTGCATAGTAATTCAGGTAAGTCATTGTACATCTGTAAACATAGAAGAGCATCTCTTGATCTACTTTGCTTATTGCCAATTAGAAATGCAATATACTTTTAGAAATAGCCTCAGCTTTACTTCACAGCAGTAATTCATTACCACTTAGTAATGAACATCTAAGAAATAGACACAGGAATCACTTCCAGAATCAGAAGGTTCCTATCTGAATTCCACCTTTGCTGTGAACTGCCTAATGAACAGGACCAGGCAATAAACTAACAACAGGCACCAGGTAAGCCAATCTCTTTCAGCTTCCACTTACAGCATAGGGATGGATTTTGGGGCCAGTTTCTTAAACAATATTTCATTTATGTGAGAAATGCAATGACTCAAAAAAAAAATCAGCCATAGTACAAGAGGTTTGAAAAAGAGGCACTGTAATATGATTTGCTTGTTGTTTATTACCAAAATAAAAGTCTTCAGTAAAAACAATTTTCTCAAATTATCATCATTCTGTCATGGGCAAAGAATGATACAGTTGCAATAAGATACAGTTAAACTGATTTATTGGTCATACCTATTCACAAGATTCTAGTCAGCACTAAACTGATACTAAATAAGAGTTAATGAAATTCAAGAGGGGCTTGACTTGAAATAAAAAATAAAAACATAACAATTGCATTTCTCTCTTGACTCTGATCCAGGCTGTGCCTCTCCTTCTCCTACCCTTTCCTCTATAATGATTTTTTTTACCTAAAGAAAAAAGATGGAAGAAGCAATGAGAACATGCAGAAGGTTACAACTGATAGATAATGCCTGGAAGCATCACCACTACTAATTCTATCATTGAGATTCTTATTGTTATGTTGTACGCTACCCAGAGTCATTGGATACAAGATGGGCCCACTCCACCCATTTTAAAGCTATCCTCCTCAAATCACTTGTTAACAGCCATGTGGAAGCATCAGATTTTGTGGCAGAATAATCAAGAACCAGATTAAAAATAAAACTACTTGTAAAGCCTTTATATGGATGGATACAGTAGAATTTGGAATTCCCACCAGTTTCTTTTAGATTTATTCAAACAACTGACAAAATGTCAGTAATTACCTGTTTTGCATTATCTTGTGATGGTATTGAGCATCCTACCATAATACAATGTTATGGTTATTCAGCCCTTAAAGGGAAACCATAGAGCTAGAAAAGTTCTGTAGCTAAAAAGATCGAGTTTCAGACATTTCCCAGAAGAAAATTTAAAAGTGTTTGGTTTTGCAATCTAAAGACACAGATGACCGAGATAGAACATGATAGGAAACTAGCTATGCATGATAGGGAGAAAGAATTGAACAGATTTTTTTCAGTTCTTGTAACATGAAGGATGAAATGCCTCAAATGAACAAACTTATAAGAATAGAGAAATTACAAAAAGACAGAACATGAAGAGATTATTTAGAAAATATGGATCTTTCTTCTCATTAACTCAAAGATGTAAGAGTAGCAAACCTATGCAGATGGACCTTATAGAATTGTGCAAATCCCAATTCATTAAATAGTCTTAATGAATTAGTATCATTTACATCTCTTCATAGTTTCAAAATGGTTATATTTTGTCATTGTTTTTTCTTGGGATGAACTTTCAGAACTTCCTCCAGTAACTTCTTGTACAGATTAAATATTATAAAGATTAATGGTTTATAACTTCTGTACTTTGTAGTTGCAATCTAAATTATTTTCAATAATAATATCTCTGAAGGACCAATGTAATTAAACAATGTTATCATTACCTTAATTTCACCTAGTTGAGGAAGCAAGAAAATTGGATAGATTTGTTTTTGTTTTCAATATGAAAATAATTCTGCAATTTAAGCCTGCATAAGTCTGAAGGAAACAGTGATTCAAAAGGTCTCTTCCCATTCTAATATTTTATAAATATTATCAATTGTAATTTAATATTGTCACATAATTGTTAGTGTGTAACTCAGATTATCTTTATGGACTATGATGGGGAAGTAAAAACAAAATGAAAAAAGGGAAAAAATATTCATCAAAGAAATAAAAATTAATCAGTAATTAAATTATGCACATAATCAGTTTTGTTAAACCCATATTCAGTAATAATTAGTATCATTAAAATTGTATTGAAAACAAAATAATATAATGCATAAAAGCTTTTTCAACTTATTTTTAAATAAGTCTTTACAACTCTTCTGAAAAAATGCTAAATTCATATTTTAAAGAACCAGAAACACAGCTAAAATGTGCTGGCAAGTTAAGACATCTACAATAATGTAGAAGAAAAGCAGAAGAGACATGCCAACTCTTTACTCACGAAGTCTTTCTATCCATGGAACGACTTGGGAAAAAAGCCATTTTCTCCTAAGTTTGACAGTTTGCCATTAACATATGTAAATGATATATCTTAATATCTATGATTAGTATAAACAGCATACAAACATGATGTATCTTGAAGCAACAGAAAAAGATCACTCACTGCTCATACAGGTTTTCTTTGTCCTGCTTTATTAGGCAGATTCTTCTATTGCTACCAGTGCTGGTCAGGAAATGGACTCTGAGTCTGCAAGGGAGGGAGGAAGAGAGAAAGAGGGAGGGGGGAGAAAGAGGGAGGGAGGGAGGGAGGGAGGGAGGGAGGGAGAGAGAGAGAGAGAGAGAGAGAGAGAGAGAGAGAGAGAGAGAGAGATGATTGAAAGAACCAGATGCTACTTCCAACCAAAATAGAATGACCTTGGAAAACAGTGCCAAGGGAAGGTGGGGGCATGTGTGTATCAGCCTAAATTGAACAACAGGAACTGGGTAGATCTCAATCCCTAATCACATTATCAGCCATATTATTTTAGATCATGTCCACAGTAAAACCGGTTTCACAAAAAGAGGGGTGACATTCCTTTAAAATCAACTAAAGATGGCTTTAAGTTGCCGTGATTGAGTGAAGACATGTCACACAGTTACTGCACTATGGGTCATGTGGTATAGGGCAATTTGAGAATATGCCTTTATATCCAAGAAATTGAGAGAAGACTAACTAGATAATTCTCACTATGAAAAAAAAATGGTTCTACCTTTCATCTAATATTTTATTTATAGACCACTTTTTTTTAACTAGTTCATAAAATGAATCAGGAGGAATCTCAGAGGAAAAATGAGTTGAACAATCAATTGCCATCATCCCCACTATCTGAAATAGTCACCAAAAACTGTTTAACGATACAGTCAGCAAAGAATAGCAATTAACCTCTCATGGTAACAAAAACATTGCAGCAACTCTTGTTGTTTATCTTCCAACATAGGGATTCTCCCATGCTACGATTTATTTCCGTATAGGCTTCCTTCAGTTTCTTACAAAATTCCCCATTTCTGTCATATCAGACTAAAGTTACAAAGGGGCTCTTAAAAATAATATTTAATGTATATTATAGAACTTTCTATAGCATTTTGACAGTGTTTTATATTCATTCATTCATTACTCAGTTATTAAAATATTCCAAAACTAACTCACTTGAGGGGGAAAAATACATAGTTATCAAATCAAGTTGTTATATAAGTGAAAAAATTCTCACAGAAAGTCCGGCATGTCAACATATTTAAATTCATTGCTCAGGATCATTAGGGAATTAATTAACAGTACTCTGAAATGTCTCATCTAAGACATGTAGAGTTGTTTTGAATTTTTGATAAGATTGATCAATAAGAAAAACTTTTTGGAAATTCTACAACAGAGCCAAAAATTTACATAAAATCCTAAGTGGATGATAACATAGGAACTAATCCAGCAAATTGTTATGTAAAAGTTAGATGATCACCAATGAAAAGTGAAAGAACTTACAAATGAAATTGTTCAGAAAGAACAGAAACTCTGGCAAAGCAAATAAACTTAACAAGAGGACAAGCAAAAAAAATATATGGGAAAACCCAGATAGCTTTAAAAAAAGAAAATATAAAAAAAAAATTTGATTTGATAGATCAAAAGCAAAAACCCCACCAGGCAAATAGTTTGATGACATATGTATTTATTACTTTATTTAAAATATTTATATGCCATTTCTTATTTAAAAAATGTAATTTATACAGCAATTGCCATTATAATTTTTAACAAATGAAAGCACATTAAAATGTCACATAAATTATGGGACTTCCGGTTTGTCGGCTTCGCGAGCGGCAGGGATTTGCGAAGCTGCGCGATCCCTGCCGCGCTAGCCGTTTTTGGGGCTCCGACCCAGCCGGGTACGGAGCTAGGCTGCCCTGCAGGGGCAGCTGAAGTAGGGGGGATCCGGAGAAGGGTTTGGGGGTGCTGCAGACTCCCTCCCTGGCCGGCAGAACTCCCTTTTCCCAGGACGGTGCAGCGGCGGTCCGTAATGGCCGCCACAAAGAAGCTGGCAGCCGGGTAAGAATGCACAGGAGGAAGTGGAGAAAGTGATTGAGAGGAGAAAGTTTTTCTTGGCTCCTAGGACTCTAAGACATATTTAATAAAATTCCTGAAAAGTATGATTCTCTGAATAATACCTGCCAGAAGAGGAAAAAAGCGGCTGCTTGAAGGTGCTGAAAGGATAGCTTTCCCTCTTTTCCTACGGAATAAATAACTGGATATTAAGAAACCTATTTTTTTTAGGTGGAAATTGGTTTTAAGCGATGAGTGGGAAGAGAGAGGATTAAGAAGAAAATATTTGTATGCTAAGATTTGTTGGAGCAGATGCCTTAAGGATTTGAAGACTAGAATATATTGTAATAAGATTTTAAACAGATTTGGACTTTCTTTCTCTTTGATTGATATTACCCCAGAAGGAGAAAGTGAGAACTCTGCCTTGGTTTGGACTGATTGATAACTTTGGGACTGTTTTATCTTTTTTATTTTCTTTTGAATATTCTGGTTGTTGTAAGAAGAAAGAAGAAGAAAAGAAGAGAAAAGATTTATAATGGCTCTTTCTGTTGAGGAACTAAGAAAAGAATATGAACAAGCAAAAAAAATGGTAAAGATGGTGTGGAAGAAGCTTTCCTTTTCTTAGAAATGGCGCTTACTAA